TCAGTTGGTGTGGGTTCTTGATAGATTTTCTGGTATTTGTCCAAGTTGATGGACTTGATGGAGGCCTTATTTAGACTGGTGAGAATGTGTTGGATAAAGTCTTGATGTTTTTCCTAGTCTTTATGACTAGGCTCATTGTTCTGCTGAGGATCCTGTCTAGCAATAGCAACTGTCCCAAGGGTCTTTATGATAATTTTGGATGTGGAGTTTATTGGCTGTATGGGTAGCCATCTTCCATTATCCTTCACTGGGGAGGAGAGTGGTAGTGAGAATGATGATTATGAAGGGTCTGATGAGAATGAACTAAGGCAAGTTTCTAGTTGGGAGAGACTAGAGAAGGAGAATGGGATGTTACATGGGTAGAGCCATAAGTTCCAGCAACCTTTTGTGAAGGGTACAGGGTTTTTGAATTGGGGGACCCAGCAGATTCAGCAGGGGTGGTCTTTTGGGAGAAAAACTGGGTCACAGGCAGTGAGGGTGGGGGCAAAGGACAGAGAGGGAAAAATTTGAGTCAGTAAAGAAAGGGATGAGGGTGGAGGGCAAAAAAGACCTACTTGTAGGGGACCTCTTCCCATTTGTCTGAACTCTGGAGAAAGTGATCAAGGTCAGAGAGGATCTGAAAATTGAACAAACCGTGTTTTGGTCAAAAAACCTATTATTTACAACTACTTGTAAGTGGCCCAACCATGTTACAGAAAAAGTGAGACAGGTTATTCAGGCACCTTGCAGGGGTGGAGGTGTATTTAGGAGGGACAGAGGCTGTTCTTCCCATAATGGGTTAGGACTGAAAGTATTCAACAGAAAGAAAGGGTAATCAGCCTCAAAAGGACTGTCATCTAGATGAAGACAAAAACCTGAATGACTGATAAATAGAGCAACCCACATCCAGATAGGTGTCTGGGCCAGAGCTGAAGGTAGGCCTAGTCAGGACTTGGACAGCCAACTGGAGGAATAGACACCCTCAATTCCTCCCCAGGAGAATTTACCCAGTCTTGAGTGGCAGGATTTAGGCAGAGAAGAGGTATACTGGAGGCAATGAATTCCCTGATTCTCACTGTCTAGAAAGGGTAGAGGTTAGAGAGGCCCGTACCAGAGCAGATTCTAGACTACTGTTTCCCAAGTTTTCTGCATCAGATGTTAAATAAACAATGATGACCCAGTGAGGAACATAGCCAGCCTCAATTTAGGGTTCTGGGTGGGTCCACCTGAAGTAACTCAAAAGGAGAGTCCAAACTAAGTTTATTGAGCTGGGTCTTTTTAGGATGGGGTAGGGAAGTTTGTGGGCTGGGTTTAGGTGGCTAATGTTCGTTGTGGCCTATTAAATGAAGCAGGTATGCTGTGTCCTGACAGAGTAAGTATTGTTCCCTGGGCTCAAGTACCTGGGAACAGCCATCTCAGGATTTGGGTGGCGGGGAGCAGAAACAGACTGAGGTCAGACCTATCACCTACTGGGTGATAACATTATGGAATGCCTGTCTAAGGAAGAGTAGTAAGTACTTCACTCAATAAAATCCAAATAAATTTCCCTGCATAGTTGTTTCTTGGAGACCTTGACTAACAAGTAAGTAATTTGACAAATGACCTTAAACCATCTGGGGTAATAGGCCTCTAAGTCCCAATAAATTTTTCTCCTAACCATTGCAAGTAGGGCAGGTAGGGCTCAGTCCTTGCAAAGAACTGAGCAAAGTCTGATGGGCAAAGAATATAATAAGTGACACTCCAAGAACTGAGGCTAGATCATATTCCTAGGGAAAGAGACCAAACAAACTGGGAAGGCCATCTGAGCTGCTGTTAGATTAAGAGAGCTAGAATTCTGGACCTCACTGCTGCCAGTAGCCTGAGTGGTACCTTGCTTTAGAAACTTGAGCTCAGGAACTCTCCCTTTAGCCATGGTGTTCCCTTCCTATGTCCAAAGCTCCCCTGCATTTCTGCTAACCCACATCAGAAGAGGATACTAGTTTCCTGGTGGGTGAAAGCTTCACTATAAGAAGTCGTTTAGCAGCTATAAACCATATATCATTTTAGATAGGAGACAAACTTTAAGCCAAAATTATCATATGATTACAGTAACCAGGTAAGATGGAAAAACAACCTCAAAAGGCCCTAGGAAAATAATACCTACAGGCATCCCTAGGACCCAGGAAGCTTGTGACAGATAGGTGAGAAGGACTGGAGTTGTGCCCTTTCTGTGCACTGCAGGCCTTTAAAACATGGAAGCCACTTGCTTCCCTTCCCCATCCCACATGGTAGGACACACTAGGCTCCTCCAACTTTTAGTTCTCTGACAAACACTCATTTTTCTAGAGGCTTATGTGTCTCTAGCTACTGAAAAGATATCCTTCATGGCAAAAATGAAGTTATAAGATATAAACCTGAATGATGCATAGAAGTTTTATCACTTCTTAATGTATTGTCATAGCAGGGCCCAGGGATCTGGAGGTCTCCTGTAGCACAACACCCTCTCCAGGTTCTAGCCCTACACCCAGGAAAAGAGTGTAAGGATGGGGCTGACTCAAAGCTAAAGAAGGTCTCTCAAATGAAAAATAAAGTCAGGCCATCAGGGATACAGAAGGAGCAACTTGGAAACAAAAGTAATGTGAAACAGGTTTGTTTATAAGATGGCAAAGGAAGAGACAGAGCTGTTGTATGACAAACTACACTTGCAGAAGTTCAAGTGAACTTCTCAATGTGGTGGCTTTGCACTGGCCATACTTATAGGGGTTCTAAGCTAATCAGGGTCTTAGCCTTTGTTTTAATGGTTATAGAGTTTTCATTGAATACTGTTTCTAGGCCAGTTCTTAGTCTTTGTTCCTGGGACAGGCTGTTTCTGAGGGAGCTGTTGTTGGATGAGAATGGGATTTGGGGGATTTTTTAGTGAATGCAAGATCTCTAAAAATAACTGTCCTACACCAGCAAAGTTTCACAAGAGGAAATTTCTAGTAAATAGGTGATCATTTATTCTATAGCTGTCTGCAGTCATGTCTGTTAGACACTGCTCATCTCTCCTAACTGACCCTACACTCGTGGCATTTAACATCCTAACCTGTCCACAAAACAGGCAAAGAAGTCACAAAAATGGCAAAGAGAAATAGCAAGAGAAAAGGAGCATAAAATCTTCCCCAAAAGAGGGCTTGCCCTCTATTGTTATGATGAGTGATGGAGTTCTTAGATGGGCTTCAAGATTCTTCTGTGTGATGAACAAATTGGACATGGTACTTCACAATAAGGAAAAAGCAACAAATTTTGTTTGTTTGTTTGTTTGAGACAAGGTCTCCTGTATAGTTCAGACTGTCCTTGAACTCACTGTGTAGTGCAGGCTATCCTTGAACTTGTCCTTACAAGTCCTTCTACCTCAGCCTTCAAAAAGTGCTGGGATGATAGGCATGTACCACCATGCCAAGCAACAAAATTAATTTAGGCAACAGTACACTCAAAAGTGAGCAGGCTCATACCAATGAAAAGGAAAGTGGCCTGACTGCTGAAGGTACTGGGTTTACAGGCATTTAAAAATTGTACTGGGCCAAGGGCACTTCCCGTTGGGTTTTTGAAGGTGTGACTGACAGAGTGCTGAGTTATGTCAATTGTATCTAATGTGAAAACCCTTTCTCATAATTCACTTTGTTATAATTAGATATCTGAGATTCAGTCATTATGCATGAAACTGCAGTGAGCTCCAAGTGAGGAAAGGTTAACTATACTTCATGCTGGAGAACTGGCACACATGCTTTTTTGGTTTGGAATTTCAGACTTTTCCAAGGCAGGCCCAGGGGTCTTTGTCTTTCTTGTCTCTGCCTCCAAGAGATAAATCATAAGACAGAGGTTTGGGGGTTGGCCCTGAAGCATTGTGCAGATTCAGATGAGTAGAGGCAAATGGTTCCATAGCCCCATTTGTATTTTCTATCTATATTACTGAAATTCTAAGTATGCATCACCACATCCAGCTCAGATTTCATTTTAAGTACTGAGTTTAAATTTTTTTCCTATACAGGTATCATGACTAAAATATCTAGATGATACAGATTTTTTTTTTTTTAGTTTTCACTTATAGAAATATAGTCAAATCATTTCTTTGCATTAACCACTTAACCTAAGTGGTTACCGTAAGGAGTAACCTAACTGGTTTACCTAACCAGATAAACCTAACCAGTTTACGATAAGTGTGACTTGGGCAGCGCATTTGTTTACATATTGACTATTCCAAGCATCCACTTGGGCAGGTGTCAATTCCATGTGTAGTTCAGGCAGCTCAGTTTGCAACCCACTATATAGGAAGCCTCAAACTTAGGGCAGTCTTCCTGCCTCAGCCTCCCAAATGCTGGGATTACAAGGATGCACCACCATGCCTGGTTTATTATTATAATGAAATATTTATGTACCTTCCGAGCCATACATTATGGAACTCATTTGTTATTTATTCAAAACTAGGGGGTTCAGGAAGTCATTTACAATTTAGATTAGGTCTAATAGACCAAATAATTAAAAAATACAGATAGTGAAATGCTAATTTTTCTGTTATATTATAAAAATGAACAAAAATGATATTTTTGGTCATCCTGTATTTAAATAATAGGACTGGTAAGTGGTTAAGTCTTTTTAAGAGCAGAATATATTTGGTTAAGTTTCTTATTATATGTTTTGCCCATGTGACTGCAGTCCATTTTTCTTCATTGAAAGGAGGAAAAAAATCAGCCTTTAAGTATGTAATTTCCTTTATGTGCAAAATAGGCATTTTTCTTCTGGTTGAGACTCTCGAGATACCTAAATATGATAGTTTTTCCTAATGGAAATAGAGGTGGAACTTCAGCCTGTTAGCCTAGGTGTGTTTAGATTCTGTTGACACTTAAAAAGTAGCAATAGTTACTAACCATATCAAATGTTTGTAATGACCATGTTACCCTGAAAATAATTTCGCTGAGCTATAGTTAAGTCTCAGTTCTTTTGATTCCTTGTTTAAATAGATTCCCCCTTCTCCTCCCCCCCCCCTTTTTTTTGTAACTTAGGTGAGGAGAACCAGAAGCTTGAAGACCCAGGTAAGACATTATCTTAAACTATTCCCTTGTCCACTGCCATTTCTCGAATTTTTCTGAGTATAAAGTTAACTTAACTTTCAAGTGGAATGATTTTTTTTTAACTAAATAGTTCTTCTATTTTACGCTTGGGAATAAAAAGGCAGCACTCACTATATTACTTGGTAAATGAATCATCTTTTTCTTACTTGTTGAGACTAGCTACAAGATTAGGAAGAGATGAGGACTCAGTGTCACAGGACTGTCTTGAGGTTTCTGCAGCTGAGATAAGGAACATAACCTACTCTAAACATAGGATGTTTAGAGGTTCAGTGACAGTGACTCTCACAGTAAAAGAATTTTCAAACTAGTCAGTAAGAGGCAGGAGAGAGGTTTTGTTAGGCCAAAATTAAAGAAACAATAGTAGGGGGGAAGAGGGAGAGGGAGGGACCTCGGGTGTGTTTAGCTCAGTGGCACAAGTGCCTGCCTGGCAAGCATGAAGTCATGTTTGATCCCTGGTACCCAAAGAGAGAGAGAGAGAGAGAGACAGAGAGACAGAGAGACAGAGAGAGACAGAGATCTAGGATGTATGAATTCCTGTTGTCTGTCAGGTTACTCATCAGGCAAGCTATGTCAGAATGGAAACTATTTACATGTATTTGAAGTTGAGATATGCTGCCCAACAATACTGGTGCTTCCTAGGGGATGTGGGAAGTGTAATTTACAGCTAAAAAGGACAGTTTCAGAGCCTAATTTATATAGGCTTTCTGTTTCTTTAAGACCTTTGGGGTGTGTGTGTGTTTTATTTATTTATTTATTAGTAATTTTCACTCAAAAAAGGAAAAAGGATTATGTAATTTTTGAGTCCTAAAGTTGCTGGGGGGTTTTATGTGTGTGTGTGTTTGTTCTGTCCTTTTGAGACAGGGTTTCAGTATGTAGCCTGGAACTTGCTGTGATCTTTGTGCCTCAGCCGACCAAGTGCTGGGATTATAGCACCATGCCCAGAGCTGCTGTTTTTCTTAAAAGTATAGTTTTAAAACCCCAATTTCTTTGCCATCTTTCTGCCTATTTTTAAAAATTGTTTCTCTTCTACCTCACTAGGACTAAGAACATTACTAAGCATGGAAAAGCTAGAATGGGGTGTGGGAAACTTCATTTATTGTTTTTTATGTTCCATGCAATGTACCAACCATTTTTATGTAGTTATTTGTGTTAATCTGCATTCCTTATATAAATGAGGACTTCCAAGTTCACAATGATTAAGAACCTGGCCAAAGTCATAGAACTAACAACTTTAATGTCAGTGGAGCTAAATTAAGCACAGACTTTAGCATGGTATAGTTTCATGTAAAAATGGATGTTTTAGGTCTGTCTCATAAAGATTGGAGAAATAAGGATTAATTCCTGGAAGTTCTTGAAATCTAGCTTACAGTTTGAACTTCATCTTGTTTAAGAATGAAGAGCTGTTGAAAGTGTTTTGTTGTTGTCATTTTTCCCTTTGAGGGCGCTGGTGGTAAAGGAATTATGTAAACAAAGGGAGCATTAACAGTGCAAAATGAACTAACCAGTATTCATTTCTGCATTTAGGTGTGAAAATTAGTGAGCCCCCTGAAATACCTGGTAAGATGGCTTTCTGACAATTCTCTTGAGCTCAAATATGAGGTGGAAATTAATCTCCCAGGATTAAAGAGAATATTTTTCTTATAAATGTGTGCTGGTCATCTAAAAAGATTTTGGTAGATGTCTTAGTTACTTCCTTGTCACGGGACAAAATACCCAACACCCACAAGTAGTAGGAGAGGTATCTTTTTGTTTATTTATTTTTAACTTTTTGGTACCAGGAATTGAACTCATGACCTCATGCTTGCCAGGTAGGCAGTGTGCCACTGAGCTATTGATAGGGTTTTCGGCGTGATAAAAGAGAGAATGTAAAATTAAAAAAGCTTTTATTCTAAGGTCGCGGAGAGAACTCCATGACCGCGGGAGCCTGGCTTTCTCTGCCAGAAATGTGGGGCATGGAACATACATATAATTTCCTACTGGGGTGGCGCTTAGGGCAGCATTGTTGACGTTGGGGTGGTCCTTAGGGCGGGCATTGCTGACAGCTGAAGCAGCCTATTGGAATTTTCTTCTCGCAAACAGGAGCTAAGGAAGAAGCAGGAAGTGGTAGGCATTCCCGCTTTGGCCTTCCACCTCGTTAGACCACCGCCATAGTTTCTACTGGGGCAAGAACCTTTCAGCTATATCCCCGGCTGAGAGGGAGTTGGCTTTGCTGGAAATTAGATGTACCTTCCTGGTTTTACAGCTAAAGTTACTCAGTAGAAACTTCCACTTCTTACATAAGCTGTTGGCTTTGTTCTGGGGTCTCTAGGTAACAAAACACAGTATTATCCTGGCATAACACACAGTAAGGTGCTATGGCAGAAGACTCCCTTGGTGTGGGGCTTAAGGAAGGGCTTATGGAGCCACAGCTTTTCAGTCAAAATCTGCAAACTATAGCTCAGGGGAAACTTGGGGGCTTGGTATCTGAATTTCATCAGACAAAAATTTGAAAATTGTACTTATTGGACCAAATTGCAAGCCACTGAAAAGTTTTTTCTCATTTAGGAATGAAAACTCCACAACCTTTTCCTCTACCTGGTAAGCAATAGTTGGCATGCCAGAAGGGAAAATGGTGTTTTGGGAGGTATAGACATGAACCATCACCAAAAAACATGTAGAATGGCTAAGTACTTTTATAAGATTACATAAATGAATGAAGTACTTAGATCTTTGACCAGATATTTGTTTGTTCCTCGGTACTTGTGGTTCCTCAAGTGTTTTTTCCAGTATGTTACCACAGCAATATTTAATCTATTACATAAAACTATTACATTGCATATTTTTAAGCTGAGAATTGAGGAGAGGCCATTGAGAGACACTGAGCTTCTGTGATTAAGAGAAACTGAACAGTGACTTCAGTCAGGTTCTTCAGAGTTTTATGCTTACAGGGAAGGGGAAGAAAAGCTACTCAAACTAATTTTCATTCCTGAGACAAGTAGAAGTAAGAAAAGAGGAATGATTTTTTACAAGAGAGCTTTGAATAGTCACAGCACCTGTATGCCTCAGAATGTTTTTCTTTCAAATGTTGTGGACATTTGTCATACTACCTCATGGAAATAACATCACATTTACATCATGAGACTTTCACAGGGTAGTCGCTTATACAGTGCTTAAAATCCTTTCTCCTGAGTTTATGTAGTGCTTTGAAAATAAGTTTTAAAAGTTTTGTTATTATGGAAATAATGATTATGTTAAATTAATTTTTAGGATTGCTAAATTGTAACTATCCATAGTGCTGAGCCTTGTCCAACTTGACTGTCTGCGGATACTGCATGTTGTGTACAGAAACAGCACTTCAGTTTGTTACATAAAGCATAGATAGAAGCTCAGAGGGTCCAGCAACTCTTTCATATTGACTCAGTTTAGCAGTGATGCCTTTATTTGGCCACTTTAAAGTCAACTAGTGCTTCTGATGACACACCTTCTCTGTCTACATCCCTTCTTTTCTCTAGATCTGAGTTTATAGTTCTCTGGTTGAGATTTTAGTACTCATACTGTGTAGCCACTGAGCAGAGTTTGGGGAATGAACATGAGATATGTAGAGAGAACTGGCTTCAGGAAGTTGGTACCCTTTCTTCTATATAACTTTTTCTATATAACTTCGTATGTTACTTTACTTTTTTGTACCTCTGCTTTTATGTCTGTAGAAAGACATTTCTATCTTTAGGGCTAAGGACCTCATGTAATAAACTACCTGAATATTAGTAAAGTAATAGTAAATGGTAACTGACATTATTGTTATCTGAAAACATTTTTTTTTTTCATTTAGAAATAAAAGTGTTACAACCGGATGAAAACTCAGGTAATGAATTCTTTATTGGAATGGAGGCACCACTGGGTTCTAAGTCCTTTACCATAATCATTTAGTTCAGTTGTAAGGAGTTTGGGGAAAGCATCTGTGCTATGTAGTTTTGACATTCTAGTCTACATGCTAGAGGAAAAAAAATATTGAGAACTCCTTTTAGTGTGAGTGGTGGGCCACTATTATGGTTCTTAAACAGAAAAAAAGGTACTTGACCTAAAATTGAAACAGTTACCATCCAACTGCCCTTGTCTATTCCATAATAAAGCAGGAGGCTTCCCAGAGTGAACTGAAACTGGGAGGAAATTCTCAGACACAGGAATGGCACATCAAAGAAGTGTGAATGAGAAAGTACACAGCATGCCAATATTGGGACCAGCCATTCTGTGCTCCTCTCTCTGAGTTCCCGTCCTCCAATAAGCCACTGGCTTGTACTGTATTGTGCCCACTCCTGGAAAGCTATGTGTATGTAGTGCAGGCTTTGAAAAAGGCAAAGTAACAGAGTACCTAGAATCACATTTAACCCATTTAAGATAGTGCATATACCTCTAAACCTAGTATCCTTCTTTCCGGCCCACTCTCAGAGATAATCAAGTTTCTTTAATCTTTAATTAGATCTTTCGCTTCTGGATAGATGTATAATGCAATTAATGCAAAATCTGTTTATATTTTAGAAGACAGACATCAAGAAAACATGGATAATCCTAGTAAGAAATATTTCAATTGATAAATGTTTGTGCAATATAGGCAAAACTATTTTCCTCAGTAAAAAAATTTAAGAGTTCAAGAGTTGAGATTAAGCATCATAACCAAATGTTTTAACTTTCTTAATCATTTCTGCTGCAGTTTAGAACAGTTCTGTCTTCTCAACCTGATTTTCCTTTATAACAAATATTTGATAAAATTTATTGCAGAATTACAGTAAATGCTAAGATTTAATGAATGCTTAATGAAGTAGGCAGATGGTTAGGTTTACACAAATAAATAAATTTGGATTTAAGAGATTGGAAGCTGTACAACAAATACTAGAAAATAAAAATGAAACCGTGGGCACTACATAAAAACTAGTATTGTGTTTTTTAAACTATCTGAAAATATTTTGCTTCTGTGTAAAACTGATTCTGGGTTTGATAGGTTTTAAACATGTTTAGCAGTATATTTGAAAGTTGTACAGGAATTAAGTCAATTTTTCATTGTATGAGACTATCCTGAGTATTTCAGAAAATCAGTATGTTTTATGTCTACCCCATTGTTAGGACAACTGTAAAACAATTCTTTGACAGTTGTCCAGATTTCTCTCTCAAAGTAGAAGACTTTAGCCTTGAGAATCAGTGGTCTACAATAACATAATGCGTGAGTGCATCTTGCCTCTTTTCTTATGTATACATGTAACTGCATTTTATAGCTATACCAAGTAAATTGATATGAAGGCTTTTAGAAAACAAAACAATAGCTGCATTTAGAAATCTGACTGGTTATTCGATTTGTATAAACTTTCAGTCAATTTCCTCCTATTATGTAATCTGTTTAAACAAAAATAGCCATAACTTAGGTATCTGAGTTTAGAGCACAATGAAAGATTATACTATAGATGGACCCTACTATTCCTTGTACTTGTCTGGATAAACGAGAAGCACTTTTTACCAGAGCTGCATAAATATAGAGAAAAAAAATTTGGGGGGGGGGGGTCAGATTCTGAGGACATGTATTTTAAAATTCATCTATGTCCAATTGTATACTGGCAGCTGTTTGAATGTGTATGAACTATATTGTATATGAACTATAGAAGAGTTAAACTTTACCTTGCATATATATACAGAAATCAAAACAGAAATATTGCTGGAAACTCTGGAGAACTTGAACAAAAAATAATAATTGTCTTGGCTATGTAAAGAATAAAAACCCAGTGCAGTCCTAGATAAAGCCAAGAGCAGCATTTCCTGATGATGTATGTACAGAAATACAGCATGAAATCTGTAATGAGTTACATTTATTTGAAAGTTGTTCCTATTTGAGAGTACTGTAGTTCAGTAAATGTCCAGCTGTTTCAGTGTTGCTGCTTACATGTTTAGGACATATGGTATAGATGGATGACACTTCATACCAAAAATGTGTGACATGTATTCTCTTTAACAGCTCCAGGTCCAGGTCCAGTTCTTGTTCCAGGTCCCAAAACTCATCCTTCTGCATCCTCTGGCAGTAGGCTGCTTCCACCGCTTGGGGCATTCATCATTTTAATCAGTGCTTCTGCTGTAAATCTTTTTGTTGTTCCATAGTTTGATATATTTTTAAAAATCTTATTCTTCACTTGCAATGCACTGCTGTAATCCCACAGGAGAGCAAAAAGAGAGATGTATTTTTTTCATTTGTTGGCCAGAGTCACTTTGTAAAATGAGAATTGTATATTTGTTATTTGTTTTGGCAGTTCATAAAGTTGTCCAGATATGGCACAAAATTAACTTTTCATTTATTTGTATTAAGCTTATGATTTTTTAAAAAAAAACCTAAAACTGTATTCTCTTGATTGGATCCAATAAAAGACTAAGATTGCAAGGTACTTCTGTAGACTTGCCAGTATTTGCCCAATTGTAGTATTAGTGGCTAACATAAACTTAATCAAGAATTTTAAAGACGCTGTAACCTCTTTAAAGGAAAAAAACTGCCGTGAAATAGTATCATTCCTATTCCTTCAGTCTCACTCATTTCAATATATAGTTCTACTTTTTATAAACCAAATAGATTAGTCTCTATCATGTTAATCAAGAAGTTAAGATACTGAATATGTATGCTGAACAAGGAAAAGTGAAGTTCATAGTACCTTTTCCTGAGGTATTATGGTGAAGTGACTGATATAGGGATTGTAACTGATGTTTATATTTTGCCAGTGTTTCAAAAAGCATTTAAGCTATAGAAATCTAAACTAAGTGTTAAGGATTCAGTGTGCTTTGCCAACTACCTCTCATTCAAAATTCTGAGGGAAGCCAGTTGAAGCTTAAAAACAGAACTTCAGTAAATTTTTACACACCTTAGTACTAGGTCTTTCTTCCTCCCATCTAAATTTAGAACTTGATGTCTTAGTCTGTTTCTCACAGCTCTGGAAACTAGGCAAAACCAAGATCTAGGTGCTGGCAGATAGATTTGGCTTCTGTTGATGGTCTCGTTGGCTTATAAAGGGAAATACCTTCTCACAGTCCTCAAATATTGCAAGGGACAAGATGGGTAGGATACTAATTCTATTCTTTTACGTCTCCACCTCATGATTGGATCCTCTCTAAAAAGCCCAACTCTTAATGTAGTGATACTTTAGTTAGCAAACGTAATTCATTCCAAATTCATATTTGAACACTGAAAAATTCAACAATTGAACTTATTTTTCCTGTAAGGAATAATAGAAAAACAAGTAACTAGTTCTGAGACCCAAAAACTACTTATAAATTCACTTTTTCAGGTCTTTAACCAATTTTGCAATGACTTCTTTTATCGTAGTTCTGTTTTCCTCTTAGCTTTACTGCTGGTGTTTCTTTTTGGAGCCATAGTTATGATAGTTTCCGTAAATAAAGTGCAAAATAAAATAAAACCAGCACAATGAGGAATGTTTCACCCACTCTACAGTATATGCTGTATCCTGGGTGAGAGCAATGCTTAGACTGAAATGTCTGTAGAGAGACAGACAGAAAGTATGACAGCTATACAGGTTTTATCAAGTCAGATTTTTGGTTGACTGCCAAGCAGTTTCTAACACTAAGCAGATTTTCTTTTTCAAACTTTGCTGTCCAAGTAGTGGAAAGTTTGCACTTGGAGCAATTTGACCACCGAGGTATCACTGTACTGTCATACTGGATGTCAGAATTTCAACATGAATTTTTGGAGACAAACATTTAGTCTATAGCATACGATCACTTGCTTGGAATACACCTATGGTACTACTACGGCTGTAGTTATTTAATCAGCTATATGATCAAGGACCAAAGACTTGCCTTACTCATTCAGTTACCAATGAGTTAGATGCCTAGAAGGATGACTGGACTTGTCTTTAAAATGCAAATTCTGTGGGAGGCTGAGGCAGAAGGATCACTGTGTGTTCAAGTGCAGGCTGAACTCGATAGCAAGACTCTCAAAAAAACAAGAGCCAGAGCCGGACATGGTGGCTCATGCCTGTAATCCCAGCACTCGAGAGGCTGAGGCAGGAGGATCATTGCAAATTCGAGACCAGCCTGGGCTACAAAGTGAGCTCAAGGCCAGCCTGAACTGAATAGCGACACTCCATCTCAAAAAGACACAAAATAAATATTTATCTTGTGTCACTAAGACCTAACATTAACAGAACACAAAAATTAAAAAGCTAGAGAAGTATGCAGGTATGTATGATCACTGATACACACTAGATTATATAGCTCAGTAATTAACAGTTCTTTTTAAAAGTACCAGTTTTTCTCTGCTGTAATATGCTGCTGGATGCATCTGTCTTCCAAGCCAAGTGGAAAGTATGACAAGAAAGAAATTCTTGACTACTATAATTCCAATAATGGGAGGAAAGAATGCTGAAAGAAGGGTATGTGGAGATTTGCATGCCATAAACTCAGCAAAAGTGGCTGCAAAATTCTTACAGCTAACTTAGGAAAAAAACAAGTTCTCAGTCTCCTGAGACAGTATGTACAATAGGTACAAAATAGCTATTGTACTTTGCAGTAAGGACAGAATTGTTAGTGGACTGTTAAGTCAGAGGGTGGATTCTGGACGTATGTGTATAAATATTTCTCACTGTCCCCACAATAAATACAATAGCAAGATTCATGGAGCCTATTTCTTATAACAACTCTCAATACAACCCAAAACATTACACAGAAGTGGCAAAGTATATCATTTCAAGAAGGCCATAAAGCTGGGTGTGGTAATACACACCTATAATCCCAGAGGCTGAGGTAGGAAGATTGCAAGATTAAGGCCAGTCTGGGCATACATATTCTAAGATCCTATCTGAAACAAAAACAAAAAAGGTTCCAAGATATATTCCAAATATATAGCCTTTAGTCAGAAGTATTATTTAAAATGATTGGGTTGTTAAAGAGTCACTATTGTACAACTATAATGTCCAACTTAGGTATTCTATATTTTCAGACACCTATGATGTATTAGGGAATTTTTTTTTACCATAAATACTTTTATTTGCCACCCCCTAGTCAGAATATATCAGAACTGAGAGAAGTCCTTGAGAGCAAAGATCAGATTTAAGGAAAGCTAAAACTCCTAGATTTTGATTATGAATTTGGTACTTGTATGAACATAAATGATCTTTCCCTAAAAGTCAAATAAAGCACCAGATAAAATTATATAAAATTTCAAATTAAGAATTTATTTTAAAAGTTTTCATTTTTAGAAATAAAGGTTTAAAAAACAAAGTTGCAAAACCAGTAATTCTGTTGTATCCTAATTGCTTGGATGTGTTCTATAAACTTCAAAAAGTCAAATAATAAAAAAATATATTTTCAAATCTTATAGAACAAAAAGAAATCACATTAATCATTAAATACTTTGGGATTTTCTTTAGGCCTCCCAACTTAAATTCACATATATAAAAATTGATGTCCACTTATACTCTACATCAAATCTTTAATAGCCAAGTAATTATACAGTATATGCAAAGTATGTATTTCATGTTTACTTGCCATAGAAAGAATGGAGATTAATTGCTATAATGTTTAAGAAAATGTTGTTGTAAAAATGTTAATTATGTTCTCTCTTTTGATATACAGCTTTTTAGATGTATATCTTTTGAAGGTTATTTCTGAAGAAATGTGAAGTGACTACTCAGATTTAGTGAAGAGTAACTTGTCAGTAATCTCCTCAAAAATCCAAGCCAGGAGAGGGTCATTTTCTTCTCTTTATTTTTTTCTCCATGTGGTCAGATTCACTCTTAAGGAAGGCCTGATGCAGTAAGAGGATGCATTTCACAAACTTTGAACACAAGTTTGTCAACTAAAGACACCACCTCTGATGTGGATGGTTTCATTCAATCCATGTTCTACCAACTTTATATCTTCTAGATCATCTTTTATAATGCTAATCAAGTGGCTAAGGCCTTCTTGTTGTTGTTTCAAATGCTAGAATGAAAGAAAACAGAACATATAAATACATTATCAAACAGCAAGATACAGGAAAGACTTTTAATAGCAATACACATCTTTGGCTAATAACACCTCATGTGACCAACAGTAAAAAAAGATACAATTCAAAGTACAATAAAACCAAATATTTATGAATAGTATTCTAAATAGAAATGTTTTTAGTAGCTGTTTCCTTGAATCAACCTGTGATAAAGGTGTATTAAAACTCAAGACACTTTAATACTGGGCCAGGGATATAGCTCATCAGCACAGCGCCTGCCTGTCAAGTGCAAGGTTGTAAATTTGATTCCTGGTACAAAAAAAAAAAACTTTAAATATTTGAAAATGGTTTCGTGTCCTGTGACACATAAGTTTGTTATGGTAATGGTAATGATTACTATAGTTGGTAACATTTTTTAGGAGTTCTTCCAAAGTGCTAAGGTACTGTTGTAATAGCTGTATTGGCATCGTTAAATTCATTTAAAATCCTTTTGAGCAGCTTTTGAAGTACTAGGATCATTTCTACTTTAAAGAAATTGAGCACAAGTAATTTGTCTAAGTCATGAAGGTTGTAAAATAAAAACTCATGATTCAATCCCAAAACAATATACTGCTTTTCTTCATTTTTAAAAGGTAGATGGTGAGGCTAGGGTCAATGGTAGACCACTTGCATAGTATGCACAAATTTAGATTCAAACACCCAATACCACATACAAAAGATGTTCATATATTAAAATATGTAGGCTCTTCAGTATGGATCTAGATTATGTGTTACAATCTTGTGCCTCAGTTAATTTTATTGCAAAGTGCTGTACTTAAATGATGGAATGACTATTTCTATGAGCTCAGAAGTCAAGCTACTTTTCAGTAATAGCCATCCAAATGTATATAACATTAGATTTGTGTAACACTTATAGCCATCTCAACATAATTCTTAGGGCCAGGCCTATAGTCCTACATAATATGTTCCACAAAGTTTACCATCTTGTGGTGGTATTCCTTTAGAACCGTGACTAGACAGTTTTTATTAAGCTAATATGTATACTAATGAAAACAAGCTATGAAGTGCTTCTCAAGTTTTTTTCATACAAAATGAACCCTACAAAGGTGACTGAGGCTCTGGTTACCTCAGCCCCAGCCAGGTCCTCTTAGGGCTGAGGGAATCAGTAATTCAGTACAGTACATTTATAATTGATATAGAGGTTGGGAAGGCATGATTCAGGGCAATTGCTACCCAATTTAACATGCATATAAATCATTTTATGATACTGATAAAAATGCAAGTTAAGTAGAGTTGGAGTAAGGAGTGAAATCTGGGGTTTATAATGTCCTTCCTATTGCTGTTATTCTCGGTGGGGGAATGATGATAGAAATGATTTTCTTAAAATTGTGATAAAATAGATATAAAATTTACTGTTTCAACCATTTTTAAGTGTACAGTTCAAGGATGCTAAGCACTTTCACCCTGTTGGGCAGAAATTGCTGTCTCTAGAATTTCTGGAAGTGAAATTCTGAACCCATCAAATTATCTCCATTCTCTCTTACCCTGCCAATGACCATTCTCATTGTTTTAATTGTACTACTTTTGTTACTTGATATAAGTACAATCATATTTTGTTCTTTTATAACTAGCTTATTTCACTTAGTATAACATATTCAAGGTCAACCCATGCTGTAATATGTGCCACAATTTCCCTTTTAGGAAAGAATACCCATTTGTCTCTGTGTGTGTGTATCTGTTCAAAGTCCCTTCTTTCAGCTTCATTGCTCAAACATCTAAAAGAACTGCCAGTCTTTTGGTAATCCTATTTTTATTTCATTGTAGTTTGTTTGTGTATATGTATTTATTTGGTGAAACTGAAGACTGAACCCAGACCCTTTTTATTTTTTACATTGGGACAGGCATGTGCCACCATACCCAGCCTATTTTTAAAGGAACAACCATACCATATAGGCTGCATCATTTTATGTTCCTCAATAGCACATGAAACTTCCAATTCTTCCACATTCTCACCAACATTCTATTTTTTGGATAACAGCCATCCTAATGAATGTAAGCTCACACTTTTAAAAAGCGCACCTTCGTAAACACTTACCTGCTTGATTTCTCGTAACAGATCTGCATCTATGTAATACCTTTCTTCAGATCTGACTGCTCCAAAATGGTTCTGCATCCTGATTTGAGACATCAGTTCATTTAGTCGGCCCTGAAAATGAATCAAAATGTAACTGTTAACAGTAGAAGCACTTTTAACAAAGAATGTTTTCTTTTGAGAAGATGGCTTCAGAACATTAATTAAAAATTTCCACTAGGGATGGTGGCCCAAGCCTGTAATCCCAGCACTGGGGAGACTGAGGCAAGAGGATTGCGTAGTCAAACCATGTCTTAAAAAAACAAAAAATGTCCGGTTGTCTCTATATTCATTATTTGAAACACAAACTGAAAGAATTATGACTAAGAGTTTACTTTAGAAATGAACTTTTTAATAATAAACACAGCTTCACAAAATTCGTTTTAAGAGTATTCGCCACTTTTCTGTAGATCCATCTGAAGTAAATTCTAGCTACATGGTCTTAGAAGTGCTTACCTTGAACTGAGTAGGCGCATTTAGTTCAGACTGAATTGTATCCAGCTGAACCCTCAACTGCTCTTCATCAGCTTGGATAGCATAACCACTCTTTCTTTGAATTTCCTGTTTGATTAGGACCTATACAAAGAAAGGCCACAAATAGTAACAAAATTAACTCTTATACAAGTCATTCTATAACAATTAGTTTTTGGAAGAAATCAGCTGGAAACTAACTATACAGTGTTCACTCAGCTCACAAACTTAATTTGTTCTTCAATGTTGGAAAAGATGATCACATTTGTGTTCGTGTGGAAAAGACAGCAATAGTAGTCACCCGATGCAGTTTTCAAACAAAAATTTTGCCAAACACATCTCTTTGCAAACCAAACTGTTTGCAAACACAAGTGCTTATGAACCAAGATACCATTGTAGTAGGACTTAACATTATGACCCAAATTATGTTTCTGTCTTTTGGGCGGGGGGAAGGGGGGGATGTCTTTTTAACGTAAGGGTTTTACTAATGCAAATGCAGGTCAGGCTGGTCTTTGTAACCCAGGCTGGCCTCAAACTTGCAGTGCGGGGATTCTGCTGCCTCAAGTCTCCCGAATGCTGGGATTATGGGCATGTGCCACCACACCCAGCACAATTCTTGAATTTGTAATCCCTTGATTTGGACATCTTCCCTTCACCTAGCCCTGTAAGAACCCTCTCCTCCAACTTGAAGGTTTTACTGAGAAAGTTTAATATCTTCAATTCAGACTATTATTTTTCTGAGTTTTTTTTTCTATTATAAAAATCTGTATGTAACACCCATTCCACACATACCTTACAAATGTTTAGGGAAAGCCGAGGGTTTAGCTCAGTGGCTTAAGTGCCTGCCTGGTAAGCGCAAGATTGTGAGTTCGATCACCCGTACCAAAAAAAAAAAAAAAAAAAAAAAAAGTTTAGGGAAAAAACATCTAATTACTACCTGTAAGGTTCTATGGGAAAGATCCATGAGTTTCCTCTTGTACTGTGCAATTTTGGCCATACTTGTAGTCTGATTCTTTTGCAGCTCACTAATATCTTCAGATATTATCTGTTTTTAAAAAGTTAGGATAAGTATGTATACCACAATTATTGATCAGGTACACCTATATGTAGAAGCAAAGTCTAATTCTGAGATAAGCCTGAAAGTCACTTCTCAAAATATAAACTCTTTTTCTTTAATTCTGCATTCATATTGCTTCCTTTATTACACATCTAAAAATTAAAACATACCATTCAGAGAATTCTTTCATGCTCTAAGATATTTAGTGATGAGGTAATGTACAGTAAAATTAACACATTTTATAAATAAAGATTGTGAGTAATACTATGGAACACAAACCAACAACCAGACCAGAGTAGAAAATGTTAATACAATGACAAGCTTAGATTTTAGAGACAATTAGCCTTAAACCCACTGTTAGAAACTTAAAGGATACTCTAATATTTACTAATGACTATGGAATTTTAAATTGTTCTAAAATTGAGTGTGGTGGTTGCACAACTCTTTGAAGAAACTAAAAATCACTGTATCATACACTTGGTTTTTTTGAGACAAGGTCTTGCTACGTAGCATAGGCTGGGCTTGAAATCACCATTCTACCTCAACCTTTTACGTAATGAAGTAACAACAGATGTGTGCCACCATGCCCCACTGGATCATATATTTCAAGTGGGTGAATTGTATGATGTGTAAGTTAGGTTTCAATAAAAATGTGTAAAAGAAAACATTACATAATACAAATCTTCCAAGAAAACGCAATTCTAGGCCAGGGACATAGCTCAGCAGCATAGTACCTGCCTGGCAAGTGTAACATTGTGAGTTTTGAATCAAAAGAAAATGCAATTCTAGATAAGTATGTATCTAACAGTCAAAATACATGAAGGAAAAAAACTGCAAAAACTGACAGAACTGAAAGGAAAAAAAGGCAAATGCAAAACTAAAGTTGGAGACTTCAACTATTTTATAACAGCTGAACTGGAAAGCAGAGAAATCAGACAGAACTAAACAATACCACCAACCAAGTGAATCTCAATGACACTAACAGAAAGCTCTACCTGAACAGAATTTCTTCTTGAAGGCTCCTGGGTTTAAAACCTTGATAAAATTAAAGGAACTGAAGGCTGGGCATGGTGGTGCATGTCTGTAATCCCAGTGCTCAGGAGGTTAGGGCAAGAGGATCACTGCAAGTTCAAGGCCAGCCTGACCTGCATAGCAAAACCCTGTCTCAAAAAGGGGGGAAAAAAAGGGAACTCACATAATTCTCTAGTCATAACAGAATTTACAGTAGAAACTGACAACGAGATATCAAGAAAACCTTCAAACACTTGGAGATTAAAGATACTTTTAAATAATCTATTAGTGAAAAAGAAAAAAATCTCTGAAGTCAAAATGATTTAATTGGAAATTCATGTTTCGAATATCAAGAATGAAAATATACAATTATTGGGGCTGGGGATTTAGCTCAGCAGCACAAGCACCTGCCTGGCAAGCATGAGGTTATGAGTTCAATCCCTGGTACAGAAAGGAAGACAAAAGAAAGACAAAGAAAGAAAAAGAAAGACAGAAATGAATGAAGAAAGAAAGAAAGGCAAACAAACCCAAGGCAAGCAGATTAAATGAAATATGACTTGAAACTAATGAAACTGAAAACAAAAATGTATAAGAAAAATCAACCAAAAGCTTACTTGAAATCATCAATAAAACTGACAAATACCTAACAAGACTTAGCTTCTTTGGTCTTACTTTGAACTATTAAGAACTTTGGTTATAGCTCAGTCACTGTACTATAAATTTATTTTAGAAGTGATGATAGGTTAAGTGTGTCTTCTCTAACATAATAAAGAGCCTGGAAATAATGCATATCAGAAACCATGCTGGGAGTTTTTAACTAGAAAAGAGAACTCTAAAAGTGATTATGATGTTCAAATATTTATAGGCTGTCACAGTTATTACCCACAAGACAATGCCAGAGAAAATGGATGTTGGGCCGGGGATTTAGCTCAGCGGCACAAGTGCCTGCCCAGCAAGTGCAAGGTCATGAGCTCAATCCTGGTACGATAAAAGAAAAGAAAAAAAAAAGAGACAGGAAGGGAAGAGGAGGGGAGGGGAGGGGAGGGAATGGAAGGGAAAAGAGAGAAGACAGGAGAGAGGAGAGAAAAGAGAAGAGAGAAAAGAAAAGAGGTATAAACTGACAGATACAATTTAATACAAGAATATAAATATTAACAGAGCCGGTTGACAATGAAATGGATTCATAAAATGGTAAGCTCTTTATTATAAGTCTCAATGAAATGCGAATTCAATGTAGGAAAATATGGAGCTGACTTTTAAGAGCCTTGAAGTATTTGATTATAAGAATCTACTCTATAAAATATTAAGCAGATTTAGGAATTTAAATATTTCAACAATGTAAAATAACACACCAATATAATTAGGACAGTGTAGTACTTGTTGCCTTCATTGTCATAAGACCCCATAAATCAATAAAAGCATTCAAATAAAACAATACGAATGACTGGCCAGAACTGGAAATAAGAATCTAATTAAACTGCTAGACCAACCAGCAAATCTAAATTCACTGTTAATATGTCAGCTCAGAATTATTTACATGATTTTGGGTACTCCATTATAAAAAGCTGGTCTATAAAACCATCACTATTAACTCATATTGGTTCTCCTTAAGCACAATTGGCAAAAAATAATTAAATGTCTACAATCCCTTTTTCTACTCTCAGGGCTAGAAAAATGAAATAAATTACTTACATCTAATCTGGTCTGATGCTGTTTAGTCATCTGATCCTGAACCTTCAGTCTTCGGAGAAGTTCCTTAAATCCTACCATGGGTACAGGGATTAACCTGAAGAAATGGAAGCAGTCAATTTTTGGATAGTAAGCCCATTACCACAAAACACAAGAAGTTAAGATTTTCATAATATTCATTTAATAGTACATCAATCTTTTAAATCCATGACTATGAAATTAACAATATTACAGTAGAGATTTTATTAACCTCTCTATTTAAAAATGAGGAACTAGGCTTCAAAAACTTGTATTACTTAAATGCAAATATAAGTAGGGGACTGATACTCAGGTTTCTTCATCCCTGGCTGTTTTTTACCACACTATGCTACTTACCATAACATGGAAGATATAATTTTAAAAAGCAATGAAAATGAAAATTCCCCCTGAAGTATAAGAATTACAATTGCCCACCACACATTTGTTTGCTACCCTAGTAGCATGTTCGTTCATGTATAAAACAAAATGAAGATATACTTACTTTTCAGAATCAGGGTTATCCACTTTGGCTTGTTCCCAAATAATAGGATCAACACCTACCACACAGAAAAAGTATATTTTTCCAAAATAGGTTTCTGTTTATAGTAATATATAAGTGGGGAAGACTTTCTAAAATACAACTCAGAAGTGATAATGAAAAATGAGTGCAAATAAGATTATAAAAATAAAAATTTTGTACTATAAAGCTAAAAAAATACGCACTGAAAGGAAAAATCTACCACCTACAGAACCTATGAATCAAAAAGGAAGATAAATAATTTTACAGAGCATGGGCAAAAGACATAAATAGATAATAGAAAAAATACAAGCACAGAACTAATCAACATATGGGAGATGTTGAACTTTACTGGAAATCAGGGAAATGAGAATTAAAGTAAGTATTTTTAGGCTGAAGATGGCAGTGTATGCCTGTAGTCCCAGCACCTGCATAGGCTGCGGTGGAAGATACTTAAGTTTGAACACAGCATAAGCAGCTAAACCACAAAGACCCTGTCTCAAATTTAAAAAGGCTGGGAATGTAGCACAGTGCAAAGGCCCTGGATTCAATCCCCAGTACTACAAAAAGTAAAACACAGCACATTTGTAATACCAGCACTTGAGAGGCCGAGACAAGAGGATTACTGCAAGTTCAAGGCCAGCCTAGACTATAAAAGTGAGTTCAAGGCCAGCCTGGAAAAAAAAAAAGTAAAATATAAAAAGGCCATCAGTGGCAAAAGGGGAGAAAGGGAGAAAGCCTGAAGAGATAGCTCTGTGTTAGAGCACCTGCTTAGCATGTACAAGTCCCTGGGTTCAATCCTCAGTACTCCCCTCATGACCAAAAAAAAAAAAGAAAGACCAATGGTTGTTACTCCTTGTTATGAATGTAAATGGTACAGCTTTCTTTAGTGTCCAATTAAGCAGTATCAGACAGACCTAGCAAACATACTGTTGACTATCTCATTACCAAAGATCCATTCTAAAAAAAGTATACGTCGGGCTGGGGATTTAGCTCAGCGGCATAAGCACCTGCCTTGCAAGCAGGCGGTCGTGAGTTCGATCCCCGGTACCGATAAAAATGAAAAAGACAAAAAAAAAAAAAAAAAAAAAAAAAAGTATATGTCTATCTGTGTGTTCTTACACATATTTAAATGTTAACTGTTGCCTAACTTATAACAGTGAAAACACAGAAGTAACATTAAGGTTAAGTAAAGGTATTATTTCATGGAACACTATAATGTTTTGTTTATGCTTCTGGGTATTCAGTATTGAGGCCAGGGCCTTTGTACTAAAGTATACCCCTATCTCTTTTTATTTTTATTTTAAGAAAGCAATTCAGTAAGTCGTCCCAGCAGGACTTGAACTTGGCAGTCCTCCTGCCTCACCCTCCCCAGTGCTAGGACAACAGGCATGGATCATCATTTTTGACTCTATGTAATGCTGCAGTAAAGTACAGAGGCAGAATCCTTTTTCAAAAGAATTATATATGCTCATATTTAAAATCACATAGGCAAGCAGGGTGTGGTGGCACACAGATATAATCCCAGCACTAAGGAGACTGAGGCAGGAGGGTCACCAAGAGTTTGAGGCCAACCTGGATTACATAGTTGAGTCTGAGGCCAGCCAGAAAGAGTCCCTGTTTCCAAAATAAATCAAATTACAGATAATGCAGGAAAAGAATATAATAAATTAATCATTCTAGGGAAGGAAGATAAAGAATTTTTAAAAAAAATTTTTTTTTTACATTTTTTATTGGTACTGGGGATCGAACTCATAACCACACGCTTGCAAGGCAGGTGCTTATGCCACTGAGCTAAATCCCCAGCCCCGAGATAAAGAATTTTAACAGTTAACCTAGTTAGGATACCTAGAATAGTTTGCAGTGAGCATAGTGAGATTATATTTCAATACTCAGTTAATTAAGTTAAAGTAAAAAAAAACTTATAAATTTTACAAATACACCTATGGATAGATAGGCTATAGACTATTTTTTTTAGTTCATCATTTTCCAAAATTTCTAACATATAACTATACAGCTAAAAATTACATGAAAAGAGTACTAGTATATACAGTTGTTCAGATACATATTTACCAAATAAACATATGATAAATTCATACTGGTTTTATGAATACAAATAACCAATTGCCCTCACAAAAGAGGGGGAGCACTTAATTATTTCTAAATTTTTCATTTTCTCAATTCTATGACTGTAGTAACATACCAGCAGGTGGATTCTGTAAAAGCTGCTTGATCTGTGCAGGAGAAAGTTCTGTTCTAGTCATAGAAAGGGTTACACCAAGTTGCTGCAACTGTGTTTTTATGTTGGCTTGTTCAAAATGCGCATATAGTGTGGTAGCTGGAACTCTTCTTGAGGTACCATTTGGAGAACGTTCAACAACATAAATGACAACTTCTGTCCTGGAGGAAAATAACCTATTTATAAAATACTCAGTATATAACCTGCAGCTACAAATATCAACACAGCACATAATTTTTTAAAAATTAAATTTACTGGTACAATTTAGATATACATAACATTCATCATAGGAGATTTGTATTTGTACATGACATACTTTGATTCCTTTTTATTCCCATTCCCCTTCCTTTTCCCTCTTCTTCTTCTCCCCTCTTCTCCTTATTAATAAGCTTTGTTTCCATTTTATCCTCCCTTTCTTACTTTTTTTCCACAGCGTGTGATTTTACAAAGGTGCTAATTAAATTCAGAAATGGATTTTTACAAGGGAATTATTTTGTTAAGTCCTGGGAAATAAACATGTACTTAAGTGATAAAATGAGGCAGGTAAGTTAAAATAAAATTTGTACAGTCTCATAGAAATGTTATTTTTTTCCAGAATTGAGAAGTACTTTGGAGATTGTGCTGAAACTTACAGGGTGCTTCTCTGCAATTAAGACCCAAGAAGTAAAATCTATTTCAGTTACTATCTCTCACTAAGCATGATTTCTCTAACCCTACATGTCCTAAAACAAATGTCTTGCCACTAAGACTACCAATTATACATGGGACAAGAGAAGTAAAGCAACTATATTTTTCTATGAGTGACCATAAAATAGGAATCAGCTGATAAAACTTTCCAGTAATATCTTTACGGTACTCATTTTGCAGAAAGCCATGTAATTCAGATCCTGGACCTGAATGAAATTATTAGCATCTAGTAAAAAATGCAAAATTAAGAAAAAAGCTTTTAAACTTTTCTAACATTAATCTGAGAAATTAATAATCTGTTCTGGTAATTAATTTGTGCATCAGCAACAACAAACACTGCTGATCACTTTCTTTGGATCAGGGCACAAAAAAAATAAATGATACATTTAGTATATACTTACTGATCATCTGGCAATGTTTTAATACCTTCTACATTTACAGCAAGCGTCTGGTTTCCTCCCAAAACTTTATGCAATGATTCTACCAACTGCTGTTGCTGGCTTCGGATATCTGTTTCTTTTTTGTTGAAAACTAAAACTACTAGTCCATCTTCATCTTTATTATCAGGCATACAACTATAACCTACAGCCTGTGAAATGACAAATAACATCAAAATATGTAAGATCTTAAAATCAAGTGGTTAATATTAGTTTAGTAGCTCCTAAAATGAGAAAAAATAATAATGTCTGATGATGAGGTCAATAGCTCTTCCTATATCCTAGGAATCACACAATTATGTATAAAGAAAAACTCTACTGCCCAAGAATAACATAAACATACAGTGAAATTAACATTTTGTCTCAAGACAGTAACTTAAAGAGCTTTTTCCTCTGAAGAATTTTGGTATCCATTATTGCTGGGCCTTTCTGAATCACTGAAACAAACAAGAAGTCATTATAAAAATGATTGCAAAGCCAAGCGTGGTGGTATATACCTATCCCCCCAGCAATGATTGCAAAGCCAAGCGTGGTGGTGTATACCTATCCTCCCAGCACTTGAGAAATTGAGGCAGGGTTGCTACAAGTTCAAGGTGAGTCTGGGCTACACACTGAGACCCTGTCTCAACACACTATTCCTATGACTATAAAAACCATAGAACAAATGTATTTGTTTCATCATGTATCTGACTATAGAATCTTTTTTTGTAATACTGGGGGTCAAACTCACAGCTTTTGCACCTGCTAGGGATGTGTTCTTGTCACTGAGCTACAGTCCCAGCCTTTGATTTGAAGACTCTTACCCTAAGTTTTAGACAAATGATTTCAAACACTTTTAAGGACCAATAGTAATACCATCAAGTTAGAAATATTATAGAACAGCTATAATTTTATAATTTCATGTAGCAGAGAATTTTGTAAATCATTAGGTTTTTAAATATAATATTAAATATGACAAAACCTTGCTGAAAATTGGTCTTTTATTTATGTATTTATTTTTTGTCTTGTGTGTGTGGTACTGGGAATCAAACTCATGTCACACTTCCCAGGCAGGCACTGTGCTGCTGAGCCATGTGCTGGACCTTTTTTTGTCTTTTTGAGACAGGGTTTCACTATCTAATTCAGGCTGGCTTGAGCTCACTTTGTAACCCAGGTTGTTCTCAAACTCACAATGATTCTCCTGCCTCAGCCTCCCAAATGCTGGAATTATAGGCATGCACCACCACACCTGACTTGAAAATTGGTCTTTTAGTTTTAGATTTTGGTTCCTTGTTACCACTTACCCACAACTTTTAAAAAGTATTTAAACTCATCTAAGTATATATATGCATTTTTACCTTACGTATAGTCTACTTTTTTAAAAAAGAAAAAACTTTAAATTGTACATGTCTATTTTATATCCTATCACTAAACATAAATATTAAAATTTCAATTAATGCATTTAAGATATGTAAGTTGAATGCTCCAATCTGACAACCTGAAGTCTAAAGTGCTCCAAAGTCTGAAACTTTCTGAATATCAAAATATGATGCCACCAAGTAAAAAATTCCACACCTGACTGTATGACAGGATACAGTAACAACGTAAGTGCACTAAATATCCTGTTTGAAGTTGTCTTTTGGTATGAATAGAAGCTGCATATAATACATAAATGAATTTGTGTTTCAAGAGAGGTCCCATCCCCAAGATTTCACATGTATATTAAAATATTTCAAAATGTGAGAAAGGATGATATTAGAAGTACTTCTGATCCCAGGCATTTTGTTAGTATTTTTTTTTTTTTTTTTTTTTTTTTGTCGTTTTCGTTTTTATCGGTACCAGGGATCGAACTCACGACTGCCTGCTTGCAAGGCAGGCGCTTATGCCGCTGAGCTAAATGCCCAGCCCCAATCCCAGGCATTTTGGATGAATCATTTAATCTGTACTTTTAATAGAGTGATGAATGAGATAAAATGACCACTTTTTGTTCTTTAACCGAATTACTTTGATTTTATTTCTTTATATTTTCAAAAATTACGATCACATCATCTTCAAAGCACAAATGCTAAAGGACAAAGCAACTGCTTTCCTTATGTAATTTTTAATTTAAAAGTCATGTTTTCTTTTACATATACTCTCCAAATGAAGATAATAGTACCTTAAACCGGCAAAAAGGATTTTCTTGTGTGAATTCCACTGGTGGAATATTATTGTTGAAATATCCTTTTCCTGTTCCCCAGAAAGCCTGCAGTTGATTCCATTTTGCTAAAATAGCATCTCTCTCATCTCCCAATAGTGTTGGAGCAGAAAGAGCACTTGCAGTATTTATCAGCTGGTTGGACTGGGTAGGAGCTTGTGTAGGCTGACTGAAGAGACCACCTAATGCTTTTAAAAAAAAAAAAAAGAAAAACACAAAAAAACTTAGATTCTAGGTGTGGTATGCAGGTTACTGCCTCCCCCAAATGTCCATATCCTAATGTATAGAACCTATGCAGTAAGTTATATAGCAAAAGGGACCTGAAAGATGTGACTAAAATTAGGCATGCTTTGATAGATTATCCTACATTGAAGGTGGAGCTCAGTGTAATCACACGTGTCCTTTACAATGGAAGAGAGCTCAAAGCTCAAGTGAGATTTGCAAATACTAGGCTGCTGGCTTTATACATGGAGGAAAGGACCACAAAAAAAAAAAAAAAAAAAGATGAAAACTCTAGGAGCTGGAAAAACCAAGGGAACAGATTATCCCTCTAGAACTTCTAAAAGTAATATAGTCCTGACACACTGATTTTAACACAATGAAACTCCATTCTGAATTTATGATCTCTAGAACTGTAACATAATAAATTTCTGTTGTCTTAAATCTCACAGTAATCAGTTATGGCAGAAATAAAAGGTTAATATACAAAACTGGACATGGTGCGCTTGGGAGGCTGAGGCAGAAGAATTGTTACACATTCAAGACCAGCCTGGCTACAAAGTGAGCTCAAGGCCAGCCTGAACTGCATAGCAAGACTCTGTCTCAAAAAGATAAAAAAAAAAAAAAGATTAATACACAGCAAGGCATGATGGTTATTAGCACTGCAGGAGGCAAGGCAGGAAGATTGCCAAGTTTGAATCCAGTCTTGGGAACTTAGCAAGACCCTGCATCAAAATAAAAAAAAGGCTGGGGACGTAGCTCAGTGTGAAGACCCTAGGCCCAGGCTCCAAGTACAGCCAAAACAACAATAAGAAAACACAAAATATTAAAAAAGCTGCTACAACCACCACAACAAAAAGTCCAAAACCACTAGGACAAACCTCTGTATTAAACTTGCCTTCCTAACGATGCTATCAATACAATAAGTACCATCACTAGATGCACAATATTAGACTATACTCACCCACCTCCCCAAAAGAAAAGGAAATATCTATCATATAGAACAGAAAAGTGAAGTTTGTAAAATTGAGAGGTTTTTAAATTTTTTTAAACAATTTGTATTGGTGTTGTATTTCTATAATATAAATTGAAAAATACAAATTATATCTGTATTAGTTTAATACATTGTTCTCTCATGGCAAAGCAATACATAATGAAATAACAAATACTCTTAGCTGTGAGGGTCCAAGCTAAAGCTTAGTTGGGCTATATAAGAGCAAGTCTCTGGCCTACAATTTCTCCAGTGGAAAGGACAAAGTTGGTAGAAAGTTAAACACTACTCAAACTGTAAAATAAGTACCCATGGTCTATGAAATTACAGCTGTCAAGAAACAGCAGTTATAGCCAGGCATGGTGGCTCACGCCTGTAATCCCAGCATTCGGGAGGCTGAGGCAGGAGGATCGTTGCGAGTTCAAGACCAGCCTAGGCTACAAAGTGAGCTCAAGGCCAGTCTGAACTGCACAGCAAGACCCTGTCTCAAAAAGACAAAAAAAAGGAAACAGTAGTTATTAAATGGCACTAATTCATGTACCAAAACAATCATTCTTTCAATGATCTGATTATATCAAAAGTCTAGGGTTGATGCTACTATGGCTATTAACTCTGGATGACAACTGCTTATCATACTTTTTAACAAAGAGAGGAACAAGACAGAAAGCTTATTAACACTACTGTATGTTCTTTGTACTTAATTTTGGTTACCCTTTCTTTATAGCAAATGATACTGGTTTTCTACTTATAGTAGCAATACAAACTTTTCTTAAAATCACTATTTAATATTTAAGAGAAAACATCTGAAAAAAATTCCCGAACAATAAAATGGCACGTAGATAAGAAAAACAAACAACATGAAAACCTAAATTGACCTGAATTTAAGTTCCCTTTCAGCTTTAAAGACTAAGAGTACCTAACATCTATGATGCTTCTACAGAAATAGAGGGGCTTCTTTGTACCCTCCAGAACAATACTGTTAACTCCCAAAGGGGAATATACAAAATCTGGAACAACTGGACCACAAGTCTGACACCTGAATCTTGGTTTACGATAAGCCAATGGTGGCAAACTTAGAATGCACGCTGCAGTGGGCTGTTCGTATCACTAAAAGCTCAAAAAGGTTAGCCATCACTGCTACAAGCTTATTCCAGAGTTCTGAGCAAGAAATCCCTAGGCTTTATCTTCCTCAGTGAAACAAGCTATGTTCCATACTAATTTATGTTCTGCCTCCCTTTTTATACTTCACCCTAGAGTACAACCATACTAGTCTACTCAAAGTTCACTAGTGGGAAGACACTGATGAACTTAAATTGTGAAATCCAATAGATTCTTTGTAAGTCTTACCATATTAGATTTCTTGTACTGTCCTAACTTTTCAGGACCCTTGTACTGTCAAAAGAAAATCACCTTCTGCCAAATGCACACACTCCTTGAAAAACCTTTCTCCCTTTAGATTTCCTGATAATCCAGTCTCTCTTAATACACACACACACACACACACACACATATTCATTCACTAGGTATTCATGCAACAAATATTTACTAAGTATCCAGTAAGTGTCAAGCACAGAGTTAAATGTCAAGGATTTAGTGGCAAAAAGACAAGGTTCTTTAAACAAACTGAGCACATTAATGTAGGAAAAAAAGTATTAGGGTACTAAATGGCTCCCATTTGCCACAAACATGACAAGGGGAACATCAAAAAGAGTAACAAATGTAACTAACTGAAATATATTTAGTAAAGCTCATACATTCAATTGATCATTTTTTAAAAGTAGAGATTAAAACTTTTTAAAAAACTACTAAGTGCAGTGCCACATGTCTGTAATGTCTAAATCAGTGATAGTGAACCTTTTAGAACTTTGCCATAGCTTTGCCTCTACTGGTCTAGATATTTGGGAAGCTGAGGCAAAAGGATTCTAAGGAGGTAACTTGGGCAACTTTATCAAACTTGTAATAAAATTTTAAGAAGGGAAGGTATGTAGCTCAGTGACTGAGCACTTTCATAGCATGCTTAAAACCCTGGATTCAACCACTAGTACTGCCAAATAAAATTTTAGATTCCAATTCCTTGGACACCACTGATTTCATTACCAAAAAATTGCCAACTAGAATTTTTCCAGCCTTTCCCTTACAAATTGCATATCAGGGTGATCAAATAGGCTTGGGGGAATGAAGAAAAAGTTTCTTTTACACATGCATTTAGGTATGGAAGGAAGAAATTAAAATTGTCATTTTGCAATTCCTAATAAAACCAATGACTAAGGCAATGATCCTGGAATCTCATGTTTAAACAGCACCAGATTCAAAACTTCAATTTTCCTAACAAAACCATATATAATTACAATTACTCATAGTTGGAAAGATCTATTTCAGGAAACAAAACTATTCCATTTTTACTTTCCTTACTACTTAGAAGATTAGAGAAAAGATGAATGACTAGAATACTAGAAATAATTTTGATACTATTACTTTCTTCATTCTACTGGTTAGGCAATCCTTGAAATCTTTAATATAGTTAGCCAATTGTCCTATGAAAAATGAAACAAAAGTAATTTTAAGAGTTGCAACCTGTTAAGTACAAAGACCATTATACAGAAAGTCAAGGAAGTTCAAATTTCATGTTATTATACCTACTGTAGCAAATTAATTCATGATAACCCTGGCACCCACTGTCATACCAGCAAGTAGGTAAGCCATCAACCAGTGATACCAGACATGCATCAAAATGCTTTGGGAGCTAACATAAAAAGCTTGCACTGGCCAAAGATGGAACAATTTAAACAGCAGTGAGAATGACTACCGTGGATTAAAAAATTAACAATTTAAATACTGATTTCCTGACGTTAAAAAAAAGTTGGGAGCTAGGTATAATGATATATACCTATCATCCCTATATTCTAGAACACCAAGCAAGGAATATCCCATGTTTGAGCCTAGCCTGGCAAATTTAATGACTTAGTGGAACCCTACTTAAAATTAAGGGTTGGGATACAGCTCAGTGTGAAGGTCTTGGACTTATTCTTTAGTACCATTAACTAATAATAATAGTAATAATAACAATAATAAAATGGTCACCTTTCTGAATGCAAGAGAACCAATTCTTCATTCTAAAAATCAGGGGGAAAAAATTTGACCAAATAGTGGTACCCTGGTTTCTGAATACTTTTGTTTGCAAACAATTTGGTTCACAAACAGAAGCATTTGACAAGATGTTGTTTCTATTTGCAAACTCCGCATTGGATGACAAACACAAATATAGCCAATATAGCTTTTCCAAAATCATGGAACAAGTTCAAGAACTGAAGTAGGGCTTTTCATCATAGATATAGTCCAACAAATATCAAGACATCAAAGTGAAATAGCACATTTTTTTAATCTTTAATGAATCTAGGTCATGATCACCATAGACATTATATAACTCTTGATGAAGAATTCACTACCAAGGAAGAAGTTCTTAAAACAAGAAACTCAAATATATCAATATAAATAAACCCCTAAAACTACCTCAATTATTAAGAAATATAAAAGATAAAAGAATATGTTAAAGTATACCACAAGAATGCAATCAGTAAAGTTCTGCGTCAAACACTCTTAAAAGACGAGTGACATTTCGTCAACAAATTGAAAAAGAGATTAAAAAGGGAACCTACAACACTATACATGAGTGATAAAATTATTAAGAAAAGTAAAGAACTGATCATAAGAGACTAGACTGCAGTTCCTCTATTGGGGATGTGAATGTGAGGGGCTGGTGCATTCCTTTTTCCTTTTTCCTGATGCATTCCCAAGGGTGCTCACCTTACATATAATGCAGTGAGTTGTACTCTTATGTACTTTCCTCTATTTCTGTTACTTTTAACAACAAAAATTTTTAATGGAATGATTCTAAACTCAAGGACAATATAATCCTAATCATGCCAATAGTCTTTTCCTTAGTTGCTGTCATATACAAACATGAAAAAATAGGTTTTGGTATCCTTTCAAATATATTTATAATCCTTAAAAAAATTAGATAACAGTGCACTCAGTAATGTTAGCTATCACTGTACTTTTGAAGACAAAAGCCTCATACTCACTGGACTGTTGTTGTTGCTGTGTGTTAAATCCTCCAAATCCCAGGCCAGTTCCCAAACCAGTACCTAAACCAGTACTAGTTCCTGTTGTTGTGCCAAAACTGGTGCCAAATCCAAAACCTTTGTTCTGAGTACCACCAAAGAGTCCTTTGAATGGAAAGTTGGAATTATGTCAGTTAAAAAAAATTTGACCTTTACCAGATTTAGTTGTATAAATGACTGGAGATGGCATCTTACCAGTAGTTCCTGTGTTAGTTGGGGCAGAAAAGGTAAATGCAGAACCTGCAGTTGTAGATGTTGTCCCAAATCCTCCAAACCCACCTAATTAAAAAGAATAAAAACAGAAAGGAAGATTATTTTGTGTACCTAAAGGCAATTTATTTTTCAAGTTCTTTTATAAGTAACTGCTACATATAAAGTCAAAATACAATGATCTAATTTTTTTCTATTATCAATATAAATTTTTGAAGTTACACTACTAAGAGGTCAACATACTACAAGAAATAAGCAGCAAAGTATTTTAAAGAGAAATACTGCAATGTTATATACCTTTCAACTGGAGAGCGATAAACAATTTACCAAAATATTAAACCTATTCGCATAATTCTAAAATGCTTTTAGTATAGGGATTCCAAGTTCTAATGCCTACCAGATTTTAGACTAATAAAATTATGAGTAAAGTAGATATTTACTGACAGAACTGTTTAAAAGTTGTTTTTAAAAATGGCAGCAATTCCGAAATTCTAACAAATTACTGTTGCAGAAGAAAGGGAATTTATGCAGTATATTTCCATTTTTCTCTACAAGAAATAAGAAATTTGGATTTTCTATGTAAAATTCATAGGGAACTTTTGTTGTTGTTTGTGTGGGTTTCTGTTTGTTTTGTACTGCTGGAATTGAACCTATAGGTTTCAGGTATGCTAAGCAGGCCAAGTATTCTACCACTGAGTTACATTGTTAGCACAAATTTTAGGTTTTTAAACACTAACGTCTTTTGCAACTAATTCAAATATTTTAAAACTAGTGTGACAAGGGACTGGGGATTTAGCTCAGTGGCACAAGTATCTGCTTGGTAAGTGTGAGGTCATGAGTTTGATCTCTGGTACCAAAAAAATTTAAAAATTTAAAAATAAAAAAAAATGACAAGCACATGTCAGCAAACTATTGCTATTTTATAACCTTGATTTTGGTGAGTTAATTTCTATCTACCTTAGGTTATGTTTTTAGTTAAGTCTGTGTCAAGACTAAGCAACCTTTTAAAAGAAACATAACAATACACTTACATCTATTCAATAAGAATGTGCTTTTTGAGCAAAGATATAAAGAATAAAAAACAGAAGTAGTGGTAGGGAAGGTGAGCAGAACTTTTGCGGGCCTCTTTCACAGTATGGAAACTGACAAATTTTATTTTTTAGAAAATTTGGAAACAAAATTAATCTTAACAACCTCTAATAACATATGAATGGAAGGGAATACTAGCAAATCCAAAATCGTTTTTTAAAAAGTTTATTTCCAATCTTTGACTGATTACTAATGTGGTAACAAAAACACTTTCAAGGCAAATGTTTCAACTATTAATACCAAATTATACGGCAGGTTTTCTGAGTTCTAACTTTAATCTCTTATTTCTAGTGATGAGACAGATTCATCTTTGTAACATGAAAGATGTAAAACAAAAAACAACCATTTGATTGTTCTGATTTGGAAAATTACTCAGAGTAGATTGCATATTGTTTATGAAGACTCAAGCATAATCTGTTAACTTACAGATTTTATTGCAGTACTGAAAGCAAAACATCCTGATAAAAATTAAGTACTATTTTTAGTCTCATTACTCATTTCCACAGAATAATTATGATATAACCTGAACTGGCTACACGATAGAAACACTAGTCAGTACTTTATCACATTCTATAATATCACAAATGCTTTATTAATAATAGTGGGTGCATGGATGCAAAATAAGCACTTCTATCAGCCTGTTGAAGTCTAAGTTAATTAACATATAAAAGTAATTAAAAACATTGTATGATTACAACTCAAAACTTAACACTGATAATTCCAAATGAACATGAAATTGAGCAAATATCAACAGGTTTATTTATTACTGTTGAATTATATTGAGCTGGATAGCTTTATTCAGAAGCACAAATTTCCAAATAAGGTTTTACCCAGTGCCAATTTTAAGCAAATAGGGAAGAGTAAACACACCAAAAGATAATGATGTGAACACTTCAAATATATCTTAATAATGGGTTGTTTTATCTTTAGAAATTTCAAATATTTTTCAACTTCCATGCTGAAGTAACATTTACATTGCAACCAAAATAAAGGAACAAAATGCCTGAATTTCCAAATAAGTTTCAGGAAGTAAATGTTTACCATATGCATATAATTGGCATGGGCATAAGTGGCATAATGTAAAAGTATGGATGGTAAATTCATATACGAGCAGCTGAAGAATGAGATTATCCTATGGGTCACTGTAAAGTACACGTAAACCTATTTTAAATTTGGATATATATCCCTTATAGTTTGCATTTTGCAAAAATTTTGCAAAAATAAGCAAACAATCCCGATTGTTTTAATCCTCACAATTATCTTTTTCAGTGCAAAGCTACCTAGCCTTTTACAGTGATGTTATCTGACAAATTAAACTGTTCTTTGAGAATTTTCCAGTAAAGAATCCAGTAAAATGGAAATTCTATAATTACTTTATAGAATGTATCCTAATCTGATAAGATCACTAAAGAAATATAATTATACAGCTTAAAAAAATAAAAGATTAATGCTGTTCGTATAAGACTTGTTTCTCTTAGAAACACAAAGACAATGATATCCTGATGAAAAATGCAGGAAAAAAATGAAGTGACTGCAGGAGTCCAAGAATTCCAAGAAAAGGGGTCTGATTAGTAAGTTTACACTTTAGAAGATGTATCTACTAATTTGAAATATACATTATTTATAAAACAAGAATTCACTTAAAATTCTTATCATTTGGAAGATACTCTGTTCAATTAAATGCAAATCTAATAAGGGAACATTATAACTTGCAAGAACTTCCACAACTTTTATCTTTTAAAAGTCAAAACAATATAAATCCTTTTTTGACATTAGGAAATCAATTTCCTCCCTTCATTGGACAAGTCATTCTTTCCCAAACTCCAGGGTTAGAGTATGAAATATTCTTGGACTCCAGCTCCCAACACTCTTACACGTACGACCCGCAGTATCTACCTGCACTTGCCAGACTGTTACCAAAATTGAACGGAGTCGCCGAAGTGGTAGAAACACCGAAATTGCCAATATTAAAGTTCACTGCAGGATTAGCAGTTAATCCGAAACCCCCAAAATTAAACCCACTGGCGGTGGAGTTGGCAGTCTCAAGCCCACCAAATCCTGATAGGCATGTAGGCAAAGAAAAGTTTTTAAAGCGGGAGGGAGAAGAAGAAAGAAGAGAAAAAGCAAGACAAGGATTAGAAGAATCAACAAGAGGTTTCACAGGAGGAAACAAACCTGACTTCGTTCCAAACAAAAAAGCAGAGCGGGAGGGGACAGAAGGCAGGACCAGGAGGGTGAACACCACCACCACCAAAGGCCCTCCGGGTTTGGGACCGACCCGGCGGCAGGGCAGCACGGTGATACCCAGGCCTGCGCTCGCTGGGGAGGCTGCGGTGGGAGCCTCACTACAGGGATACAGGAGCGTCTCCACCCACTCCGGGTCAACCTCTCAGCGGAGGGAAACTAGCCGCGAGAATGGGGCCTCTCTCAGACCAACGCGCCAGGCGCGACCCCCTCTGGGTCTCGAACACCCCCGCGGCCTCCTTAGGAACCCCTTCCGCAGCCCGCCCGCCTTTTTCTACACCCCTAAAGTCTTCTGGGCGGTCGGGGGCCCCCACTATGCCCACGCCGCAGTCTAGGGCTGAAGGGTCGGACAAGTTCTCTTCCCCTTCTGGGGGAAGATCTGGGTATAGAACTCACCCGCGGGTGCTGCGGTGGCTGCAGCGGTGCCCGAGGTACCCGAGGGAGTCCCAAAATTGAAGGCCATGTCGCGGGAGCAAGAGCCCAAAGCACAGCTCCCGCGACGCGGGGCTGAGTCCGTTCTTCTTTTCTGTCCGGCAAGGAAACAGCCAGCCTAGCCACGGAGTTCCGCCTAAGAAGCGGGAACCGACCGAGGGTGGATGGTGAGTCGGACCGGAACGCCCTTGGACCCGATGGTTTCCGGTTGAGGCGTGGCTTCACAGGGAAGGTGAGATGCCAGGAGGCTCTGGAAAAGCTTCCCGGAATCTACGTGGCGGGAGGGCTTCACGCTGGGTGCTGAGACACGCAGGGACCGGGAGTCGTGGCCCTACGCTGGGTTCACTAGGTGCAGCCACTCTACTGGTCACTGGTTGCATATTTTAATTCAACCTCAGATGTCGAGTAAGAGGCTATGTTTAGAGCAAGAAAAGAGCAGAGAGAGGCTGCGTGTAGAATACGCTGTCAACCCCGAGCGGGCCGGGTGGGTGGGAGGGGAAATGAGAGCGCGCCTGGGTCCTGAGAGCGAACTCAGTGTAGGCTGCAGTGGACCCCGCTCACTGGGGAGGTAGGAGCTCCAAGGTTAACGCTGCTAAGCCAGGTACCTGAGGATGCCCAACTTGTAAACTCTAGGGACTAGTTTTGAACTCAAGTTCCTGACCTCTAGATTAAAAAAAAGAATGGGGGTGGGGTGGGGAAGAGATTGTTTTAAACAACCAGCAAGATGTTTGAAATTTTTGTGAGACAGTGTCTCAGTTTTCAAAAAGGTAAGGTAGTAAACAGTACCTGCACAATCCCAACAATCACGTAGCCAACATTTTAGATATTTTGGCCTAACACTGCTGTACTGGAAGGCAAAGAATATGTGTATATAGTGAAGGCAGAAGGTAGGAAAGATTCAAAACTTCATCCTCTGTGGAAAAGAGTCAACCAATAATACTAAACCGAAATTTACAAAGCATTGTGTTGTAGAGAGTTCAAAGGGCTTTGAAAAGAAACAGCTAAAAGAGGTGCCACTGGATATGGTGTTTGCTTTTCTCTTTGTAACATGTGATGTAGAATTCTTAAATCTATGTACTTGTGTAATTTTAATAAAAACAAGGAAGCCCATATGTTTATCAAGAAATTACAAATCCCCTTGACCCAACAATGCTACTTATAGGAATTTTGTTATAAATGCCTTGGCAAAATTATGAAACACAAGACCATTCATTATGGCGTTATTTATCATAAATGACTGGAAACAAAAAGGGATCTGGATAAGTCAGCTTGCATTTGTACAAAAACAGTACTAGTCAGCCCTAAATACAGAACAAAAAAAAGGCCCTACATACTGGTAAGATTTCAAAATAAATTACACAAAATGTACAATTCAGAAGACTGTTCTACAATTTGAGGAAAGGAAGATAGGTTACATACACATATTCAAAATATTCCTGCAAAGACACACTTTTTAAAAAAGTTTTATTAGTTGTGTCTGGGATGACGGATGGGGCAGCTGGGAATCAGGAGTGAAGGAAAATTTTGCAACTTAATACCTTTTATGCCTTTTGAAAATGTAAATGAGTTCACAGTGGTTATTGCAGGATTCCTAGTTAGAACATGGGTATGCAAATGAGGACGGTATGCAAATGACGACGGTATGCAACTGAGGAGGCAGGGCTAAATTTGGAGGCTGGGTAAGGGGAGAGGGAAAAGAAGTTGACCAGAGTGGGGCTGTAATTCCCCAGTAATGCGACTTGAAGAAGACAATGTGAGCTACTTTTTTTCTTTACTAATTGAACAAGCTTGCTAGGGCTATCCAGCCAGTGTTTGGATATGTGGGGCGGAGCTCACGTGTAGGTTATAATTTGAAGTAAAAAATGAAGTAGCTTGTTAGGGAGAGAGTATTGGAGAGAAAGTTGCACATAGGCATTGTTTTTGCTATTTGGTGGTGCTAAGGATAGAACCCAGAGTCTTGTTTGTGCTAGCCAAGTACTCAACCATTGAGCTACATCTTGACTTTATTTTTTTTTTGGAGGGGACAGTCTTGCTAAGTCCCCCAAGCTGGCCTGTAACTTGCAATATTCCTACCTTGATCCCTGAGTATCCTTGATTACAGATATGCACTGGGGATTTGACCACCAGTACATCTCCCTACTCCCCACCCCCACCCTGCTATTGAGGATTGAACTGAGCTACTGAGCCTTTCTACTGAGCTTCATCTGTATCCTTTTTTAATTTTTACTTTAAGACAGGGTCTCACTAAGTTACTAAGCTGCAGAAACTGGGCTTGGGCTTGATATCACCCTGCTTCAGCCTTAGGATTAGAGGTGTGTGCCACCAGGCCCTGCTGAACACTAACTTTCAGAGGAGAGCAGAGAGCCCTCAACAGGAGTCAAATACAGTGGCCAAGTCTGTTGTGTTTTTTGTAAAACACAACATTACTGGAACACAGGCACATCATGTTGTGTTTACAGCTGCTTTCACACAACAGACAACAGAATTGACTGGTTGTGATAGAGAATGTACTTGTAAAACTGTTACAAATCAGCTAAAGGTTCTTATGTGCAATTTTTATAGAAATTGGTATATTATTGGATGGGTCTGAGGTGGTCCCCCAAAGAGAACACAAGGACCTCAACTTGCTGTCTACCCTAATAGGTTTGTTGACTTTTGTCACAGAAAAAGAATTTTAGGACATATCAGTGAGAGACAGGCAGATTTATTAGGCAGAGAGAGAGAAAAATGGGGAAGCAGGGCTTTAGGTTGAGGAGCCAAAGAAAGCACAACTCTGATGACCAGAACCACCCATTAATAAAAGGACAGGCTAGCTTTTATGGCTTTTCTGGGATGGGCCAAGCATTGGTATGTTGCCTTTGGATCTAAGGTATGGCCTTAGGTTTTAAGGAATTTTTTGTTTGCAGGTGCAAATGTCAGAAAATCCTGGCATTCCTTCCTGCTGCTATAGTTCACCTGACCCTTGCAATAAAAGTAAGGAATAAAGGGTACATTTTATACACTGGGAGCAAGGGAGGTCAATTTGACTGGATTGAGAGATGCCTACAGATTAGTATAACTCAATGCTGGGTGTGTTTGTGAAGATGATTGATGTACAGGCCAAAAAACTGAGGGGTGAAGGCCTACCTTGATTGTGGGTGGCACCAACCAATAGACTTATATCCCAGATGCAATACAAAGGGAAAAAAAGAAGTTTGCCCATTTTTAAGGAGTTCTAGTTATCTTGAGATGTGTTCTTTGCCACCATCACCTCTGGACATTTGTTTCCAGTTGCTTCAGCCTTCCAATGCAAACTCATTCTGGTGACTCTTCATTGAGCTTCTAGTTCCTTTAACCTTGGGCTGGTGCTGTATCCTTGATCCATCATGTTCTGCAGCTTTCATCCTCCTGGACTAAGTGGTTACTGAATCCACCAGCTCTCAGCATGCAGATGGCCACTATGGACACTCTTTTTCTGATCCTAGAAGCCTACCTAATGTATCCCCTTGCACAATTATGTATATGTGTTCTATTAGTTCTGTTCTTGTAGAAAACCCTAACTAAAATGGCAAGATAGAGGAAAAAAATGGAATTTCTCCATCTTTTGTAAGACTCAAGGATTAAGGTTGAAGATCCATGTCCCCTCTTCTGTTAGAGCACTTGTCCTATTTCAAAGCCAAAACTATTTTCTTACAGCATAAGTTTATCAACCTCACCTAAACCTTACAGCAGCACCTGCATTGCAGTGAGCAGGACTTCCAAGTATGAGCTGGGTAGTTCATTCAGGATTGCCTAGAGAATGAGTTAGCTGGGGCTGTAGTTTCCTCTTCTTGGGGAAAGGCTAACTAAAACTCAGGTTCCCAAGGGACCAGTCTTTCCCCCAACAGTGGAGGCTGTGCCATTCTAGGGCAGCTGGCATTCCCAAACAACTGCAAACTTAGCACACCAAAGCCAAACACTTGCTGCTCAACAGTTTACATAATGCCCCTTGGACAAGACTGATTCTTCAGTGATGTGTGTCCTGTATTAAGGGGGACTAGTTGGAGCAGAGGACATCTTACTGAGACAGCTGCTCTGGCCCTCTGCTCACCTCTCCATGGGCTGCCTGGAGGATAGAAGGTCTGTACTTTCTTTTTTTTCTAGCAGCTTGACCCTATTCAGTTTAAATCTGTCCCATAAAGCCCACCCCTTAGCCTCTGCTGCTATGTGGCTTCTTGGAATTCACCTGGAAGGGTGGTGCACAACAGCTACACCTTAGAGAAGACCTACCTTGATGCTGGTGGGGATGCCAAGGAGAGCCATTTAGCACAAGAGCTTCCTGGAATCCATGTTGACTGCCAATTCATTCTTCCTGTGGCCAGAATAGGACTTTGTAAACATACCTGCTAACTCAGTTTCTCCTCCAATGTAGTAGATGACTTGGGCAGCTCCCCTTTAATGCAGAGCAATTGCTTCAGCATTATTTACAGCAAACCCTGTCTCTATGTACTGTTATGTACAGAGCTGGCTATACTGTTTCCTTCTCCCTTCAGTTGACTCTAAGCAGTGCAAATAAGGCTAGCTAAGGTACTGATACGTAATCTTTGAAGACAGCTGACAATTTCCTCACAGAGTTTCCCTGCACCTGTTCGGTATAAACAGTTGAGTACAGTGGGATGGTACAACCAGATAGCTCCAAGAATGTCAATTAGATTGAGCCACAAGACAAGAGGCTATGACTTCCCAGGGCACAAGTTTGCATATCAGAAACTGAAGCAACAGCCTCCTACATCATTCAAATACTACCTTAATCAAGTTATGTAGATTGGTCTTTCTGCATACCCTTCTCCCTGCATGTTGCAGAAATGCGTACTCCATACCTGGCCAGTTCACATAATTTCCACCAATCTCAGGGTCACTCACCCTTGAATCACTCCCTTTTTAAAAAAAATTTTTTTAAGAGATTAAGATAAAAGAGGACATAACAAAGCAGATCAGAACAGAACAATTTAAGCAACACAGTATTTCACCACAAGACAACCTGATACATCACTAGCTACCATAATGTCTCTTTCCTTGAAATAGTTGAGTAAAGCTCCATACACAGTAGTATCAAACTGTCATGGTTTATGTTGGTGGCCCCCAGGCCTCATGCATTTG